AGTAAGTTGACTTTGATATGGCGGTAGATCAAGAGATAGATCTGGAGGTTGAGGCCGAGAGAGTGTCTTTCTAGGTTAAATCTTTGAAGTTTGGTTATTAGACAATGTTTATGAATATTTCTTTATTAGTTATTTTCAAAATACTATTATGATTTTGGGATGTAATATAAGGGTTAATTATGTTTGATTTGGGATTTATTTCGTTGTAAATCGGATGATGGATGGTTTTATTATTTTAATGATTTATTTAGTATGCTCACATGGTTTGGATGGTTCATAGTTAGTTCAAACCTTTTATTATATAAATTGGGGTGTGACAATCTGTCAACTAGCTAATTTAATGCATCTTCAACTACTTACATTAATATCTCACTAGATATTTTACCATCTGCCAACTATATAACTTAAGACATCTTCCAACTACTTATATCAATACCTCACTAAATTTTAAATTTATTAATAAATATTAAATTTTTAATTCTGGAACAAGAAGCCAATTCCACTTGTGTTGACTTCTCCTATCTAAGTGTGATGAACTGTGGGATGAAAACACACAATGCGAAAAGGATTGTCCCTTATAATTATACCCGTGGAATTACTAGGCACAACCTAGAGGGGGAAGTGAATAGGTTTATCAAAAAATTTCAACGAAACAATCATCAATTTTAACCTAATTTACACAATTACCAATTATCAAGTTAATTATGCAATTAAGTGTGTGAATCCTTTTTTACCAAGTCAAACACCCGTCACGTGAATTGATGCAATAATTTTCAAATTATTAAATTGCAATCCAACTCACTAAGACTACAATCCCACATCAAAGCCTATGCTCACAAAACCCAAATTGATGAATGACTTAAATAAAAAAATTAAAGTGGCAATTCATCAAACATTGTGTGTGCAATTGGAAGTGTATGTGCAGGTGTGAAATTTAAGCAATCAATAAGAACATCTACAACACAAGTAATTTGTGGACACGAAATTCACAAAAAAAACTATGGATGCAATCCTAGTTCACCTAGAACCTAATCCACTATACTAAATGTCAATTTACATGTACTTAAGTCTTACACCTCAACAACTTCTCATGGCTAGATGCTTTTTTTCATTGTAAATCTCTCCTCCGAATATCACCCTCTGAAGTCTTGAGTAACTTCACTCCGAGACGCTCACCGCAATGAATCATCTAGGTCCCTCGAGTAATCTTTAAGGCTTCATACACAAGACTCTCGGAATGCACACACCAAAGTGGGTTTTATTAATCACCAAGCAAGTTCTTCCTCTCCAATGTTGAGATAGATGAATCGAGATGAATGGCCTTTGGTCCTACGGATCTAGGGCTATTCTAAAATCTCTCAAGGTTTAGGAGGGAAGAAATTAACTCACAAAAGAGATGCACTAGTAAAAGAGTAACCAGAATTTGTGAACAACCACTCGAGTAGTGGAACAACGGTCAGAGGCACTAGCTGTTGGAATGAATAAAAAATCTAACCATAATAGTGGAGTACATATCACTCGAGCTGTGATCAGACCGCTCAACGATCTGCAAGCAACTTGAGGGTCGTCTCCATTATCCAACTCATTAGTCTCCTCCAATGTTATCCCTAAGTGTTTAAAGACGATTCTAAAGGCAAGCAAGTAGAGGGCGGTCCCTACTGGTTTTAAAGCCAAAAAACAAGTAAAAACTAATTCTCTTGAGCGCTAAAGGTGTTGGTCATGTAGGATTCGATTCATGGCTCATTCTATGTTTTCAAAACTCATTTAGGGTTTTAAAAAACTTTTGGTTGAAAACACCTAAGAGTCATTCACGGATTTTTTCAATTCCATTTTCATAATCTTAATCATTCTAAGTCTAAAATTAAACCAAGGGTTCTTAGTCTTTAGGTTATTACCTTTGTCCTAAACTTGAAGGTACATCGAAGAACTCTTGATAAGGCTTTGTAGCTTTAACTCTTCCCCTCTTTGACACTTACGGATCTTAATCTTTAAGGCATCACAACTAGGAAATTAGGTTGATATTTAAATCAAGACTTCACAAAATTAGTCAATTACAAACATTTTCCTAACAAATATTTTTCTATTGGAGGCCCAACTTCTTGTGGTAAATAATTTACACTAACAGAGTGCAAATTGCACCTAATTAGGAATTCCCGCTTAGGTCTTTTATGTGGTGTAGCTTCGTTTTAAGGAGCAATGCACCTTAGTTTCTATCACTTTCTCTTTATGTTTTCCCTTCCTTTTTTTTTTTTTTTGATAAAGAAAGCATGTTGTACTTCCATTTTGCGTAGGCTTAAGCTCGCCTAGACCTAATTGTTAGTAGGCTAAATATGGGAGTAAATTAACACGGGTTCCAATATCAAACTTTGGTACACTTAAGGCCCTCATATTTTGGAGAAGCTTTGTTTTGGATAATGACACTTGTTTTTCTATAAGAAATGCCATCGTTTACACATTTAAGTTTCTATTGACAATGCACAAGCCTTTTAGGAACTGGACATAAGGGATACCAATTTGATGGAGTCAAAAAGCGAGATATTAATTTTTACTTACTTAAAAAACTCTAAAATTATTCAGCTTCCTGGACCTCACCAACTTAATTGCAAATGTATCTGTCTTCTTCTACCTTCTCAATAAAGTAGTCTAACATGTTTCTCTGTTTGTAGATGCCTATCTTGAGAGATGATCGGTCACCAAAGGATGGTTTGATGACTTGAAAAGTTAAAGAAACTCATTGATCTAACAAAATCCACATTAATGTGACAAAAAAAAAATCTAGTAAGATACTTGATAAGTGTATCAGGGTTTCTTCCTAGAACCACATTAGCAAAAGTCTTGTGTACTGGATGGACTGCTAATAGACATCAGAAAATAGATGTATCACTTAGAAAATAGATGGATCACTTTGAAATTGAATAACATAAATTAGAAACCTTCATTTGATTTTTTTTTTAGATTTATGGGATTTTCTTTCGTATTTTAGGAATTTTCACATATTTGGCTATAGAATTATATCAGAATTCTTTGACCTTACGACGCATTGACTTTGTTCACACTTGGACTATCGAGTGTATATTGAGATTAATTTCTCCCTAATTCCATTATTTTTCTCCCCTAGCCAATTCTTCCTCCTAATTTTTTTCTTCTTCTCTTTTATTCCAATATCCTCCTTCATAATCTAACACCAAATGCCTTTCTTTTTCTATTTTTTTTTTCAGTCCTAGAAATACTAACAGAAAGAAAAAGGTTTCAAGAAAAAAAGTCCAATACAACAAATTAACCCTCTTTTTAATGGAAGCTGAAATTTTTTACATCCAAGTAATAAACAAAAACAAAACGCCAAAAAATGGTACAAAGTGAAAGAGCAAATAAACTCGGTATCTCTAAGAACAATTAAAATAGAACAGCCATGCAGCAGCTGCTGCTGCTTCAAATACCACAGATTTCCAACTTCCAAGTGTCGCACTAGAAGCAATTGTGCTAGAACCTTTCCGCTGCAAAGGTGAATCCTTTCCGCTGCTCTTGTTAGGTCAACTGGTTCCACTGTATATGACAGGATATAGATGTGCTAATTTTAATGCTGTGGCACGATCTAATGTGGTTTCCCTGCCAAAAAGAAGATGCAACTAAGAGAGAGAGAGAGAGAGAGGTGTGTGCGAGAAAGAGTGACCACACCCTACAGCCTAATAAAAAAAATAGAACCAAGAAAAAGAAATTCGCTAAACTTCTTTATCATGGGTGCTCAAATCCATTGATTCCGTATCATGGCCAACAAGATTATCCTAGAACAGAACGAAACTGCCAGCCAGACAATTTTGCATGCACCCCTCCACAAAAAATACCCCCCTCACTGTGGGAGCGGTGGCCCTTTTTTTTATCAAGTTCGGCATTGCTCAAAGGGCATCCAATTTCCATCTTCGTTGCTACACTAGGTACTGACTACTAATTACTAGCATTTGAGCTCGCTGTACTGAAAAAACAGCCAGGAATAAAGGAAAACAGAAGAGGGGTAAGAAAAGGGATTACCATAGATGCTGTATGGCAAACATAATTTAAGATATTTACAAAACAAACCACAAAATATGTAACCTGAAGTCTGCAGGACAGGCACATTGAATCTGATTTCATTTTGTGGAGTCGGTGTAATAATATTACTTTATAAGCAACCAAGCCCCTAAGAGCCAAAGGGAGAGATCGTACTTAAATTTGGAGGGACCCTAACTTATGGTGTCAAACACATAGTTACCACAATTCATTAAACCCCTAACGATCCACGATTTGAATGCATGGAACTCAAACAGGGTAGGTTCGCGATCCAGATCACCAAAATGGACGATCTCAAATTATAATACTAACCCTAAATCAATTCACTTTAGAACATGAAACACAAACACAAAATACATATTAATTGACTACATATATATCTTATATATTGTTTTACATAATAAAAAATCATGCACAACTAAAAGATAAATGGTAATTGACTTAGTATTTGTAAATGTTTTATAATATATAATTTTGTATAGTAGTGAAAACAATCTACATAAGAGTTCTAAAATGAATTGCAACCCAAATATCGTACTAGCTAAATCTACCCCTATCATACCACATACCAAAAAAAGTGTTGTATCGTATATCTGTACCTGTACCATGTATCAAAGCAACCCACGATTCAGGTAACATTGGTCAAACATACACATGCAAGTTTGAGACTGAAGGCAGCCTAGGACCGTTTGTACCACACCAATCTCGGTGCCCAATATCGTTGGTCTAACACTAATTACTGACTTTTCCCATTCCTTTTTCACAAGGTACATGAATTCTTCATCCAACAAGGTAATGATATTAATAAAAAAATGGAAACCTATAAACTAACTAACCGTGCATCATGAAAAACAAAGCCAGCCCATACCTTTGTTCCCTTACAGTGCAGGGGCTCATCCAACGTCACTCGTTGTAAAAAAGGGGACTCGCTTTTTAACCCGAACCACATACATTTGCTATACTTTGGCCTCTCCATTTACTAATGTATTTTCATTGTTGCTGGATATACTTATAACAGGTTTTCTGCTGCTCTTCTTTTGCCTATCCATGTTAAAATATGGTCCATCCTTGGCAGAGCTATCTAATCTCTTGACAACCTTGTCCTCTGAAAACAGAATGTCCTCTGCTGACTTATGCTTGATAGGATTTGTGAGTTTTGGAGCAACATTTTTACTCTTGGGGTGTTCAATGTTATTTCCTGCTAAACCATCCTTTGTTATGCCCAAAACCTTCTTAGGTGTACCCTTATCAGCAGTTTTTTGCGAAGCTGTATTATTGTTAAAATTACTTGGACGTTGCTTTACACTGGAATTCTCTGGATTTGGATCTGGAAGCAGTGCTCGGCGGCTAAGGCGAAGTTGTCCCTTTTCATTGATCTGTCAAAACCAGTTTGTAACAATTAGAGAGAAACATTTAAGTGAGCTTGCATCGAGAAATCTATAACGTAGAAACTGTCACAAATTCGGATAGTTAGTCTTAGTGAACTTCAAAAACATACAGAAAACTTTGAAGAAAGGAACACAACGTTTCATAAGGTAACCAGTAGTTGGCTATCATAATCACAAGAATTTACCGTATACCATTGTTATTGCGGCTCTTCATAGTTTTTCCATTTTAATATTATATGAACTTCAGAAATTTTGTTGTTCAATTAATGCGAATAGCATGTATGTCTACCATCCATAATAAAGACACACATACAAGCTTATACATGCACAAAATAAGTGTCAACCCCCATATTGATATTCAACATTGCTGACACAGGAATTAATCTAGTAAAAGCAAATGACTAAATCAAAATTTTCCCCCTAGAATCGTCCCCACCCAGCCCATAGCCTGGGGTCCCCATGCCCCGCAATTCATTAAGCCGTTAAAGGGGCTTGAACCGTGGCCTCACACCATTGGAAGAGCAGTTGGTAGCATGGCTATGCCCATCAATTACAGAATAACTTTACAAGAACTTCAATTATCAGCAATACGGGTATCGTTATGGCTCTTTCCTACAATGGAACTTGCATAGCTTGGCATTATAATCCCAGTTAAGATTCAAATAATCAAATATTAGGGTTTAGATTTAGTAGGAAGAGAAAGAAAAGAAAAAAGAGAAAGAGACTGAGGACAATAATGTGTATGAGCTAATGTTGCTCTACACCTTATTTATAGCATATGAGTCATTACAATATTAACCAACACGACTAACAATAAATAAGAACTCTTAACAATCGCAAAGAAAAACTTTCAGTCCGAAGTGCATATCACCTAACAGTTGAATAATTTAGTAAAGGTAGATTCTGATGCAGATGGGGCTTGATGTAGGTTAGGTGAGACTAGCTGGTCATTCCTCTGGAACCAAAAAATACTAGAAAAATTAAAATTTTTGCATGGAGTGTATGCCTGGATCAAGGATCAAAATGTCGTGTCGACACGTCCGAAACGTCCGAAACGTTTCGGAATTTCAACACTCCGAAACGAAACAGTAGTTGAATCACAAAATTTCAGTGTTTTGGTCGAAACGGTACTGTTTCGGACCGTTTCGGTCGAAACGGCATTGTTTCGAACCGTTTCGATCGAAACAGTACCGTTTCGACAAAACAGTGATATATTCGGTTCATTATGAATAATTATATTTAATACCCCATTATAATTACATTTAATACCCACTGTAATTACATTTAATACTCACTATAATTATATTTAATATCCCACTATAATTACATTTAATTCCCACTGCTCTTCTGTCTTTTATAATTTTTTTGTTATAAGAATAAATAATTACACTTAATACCCTACTATAATTATATTTAATACCCATTATAATTATATTTAATACATACTGTAATTATATTTAATACCTCACTGCTGTGCAAGTTTTTTGCTTTTTTTTTTTTGTTATAAGTATTAACAATTACATTTAATACCCTAATGTAATTATATTTAATACCTACTGTAATTACATTTAATACCCACTGCAATTACATTTAATTTTTAAGTATACATAAGTATCATTAATTTAATTTGATACCCTTCATTATTAGTATTATAATAAAATAGTATTATTAATTGGATTATATTACCGTAATAATATGATTTGGAGTAACTATTGTCATCATATTTATGTCACATATGGAGTTTCTCTAAGTAGCTACCCAGAGCCTACACCGATGTATGAGCCTGCTCGACACTCCACAGGGGAATGGATGTAACCATGTAAGTATGTACTTATTAGCATTTCATGTGTATTACAAGACCTTAATATTATGTAAAAATATGTTTATTTCATAAAAATTAAGTGTTTGAAACTAATTTAAGTGACTTTCGCCTCAAGTCAAGCCTTTTTTTCCCTCAAATTTAAATTTATTCTTGTATAAATTGATGTTAACCTAATAAATATGTTTAATTAATAAATTATTTAGCATATCTTTATAAATTAATGGATTGCATTTGTGTTTCTATGTGTTTCCATATTTTTTCTGCGTTTCCATTGCGTTTCCGAAACGTTTCTATTTTTGAGTTGACCGAAACGGTACTTCGAAACGAAATTTTGATCCTCGGCCTGGATGCAAATTTCACGAATGCAAATCTCAAGCTAAGGAAAATTAGTTTGGATGAGCTGTGTGGGGTATGCGGTGATGCGGTGGAAACATGTATTCATATTTTGAGGGACTGTCCTTGGGCAAAGAAATCATGGCTGATGAGCTCTTCAAGCCAAATCTTGCAGTTCCACATTATGCAACCTGAGCACTGGCTATGGGAGGTTCAACAGGCTCTTAAAGGTGATAAATTCTCCCTCTTTCTAGATCATTGTTGGATGATATGGAAGACTAGAAAGACGTGATTCATGACAACTTAAGAAAGGAGCCTCAAGTAATTAGTCAGGCAGCTATGTAATACTGGGTGCATTATATTTCATTATGGAGTCTAGTACTGAGGTAACTGTTTTAGTAAAGCCCAGGTCTGGGTCTTTTAAAGTCAATTTTGATGGGGCTGTTTTTGAGCTTGAAGAAAGCTGTGGGAGTAGGGGTTGTGACTGTGATAAGCAATTAGTGTGGTCAGTTTTGGTGGGTATGTCCAAGAAGGTTACTGCGAGTACTGTTGCCCAAATGTCGGAAATGATCACTGCTGGAAAAGCTATTTTTAAGTGATAAAAAAGAACCTCTTACAAACTTAGTATTTTGATTAGGAACAAGTGAACAAGAATGGTGGGTTTTCCACTTCTAAAATGGTATGCTTACGACTACTCTGTTTTCTATATTCTTTAGTGTTTGATTTGTGTTCCTCTCACTACATATACTTGTTAGGATCAGGATTGGTGGTGATCAAAGAACGGATCAAGAGCAGAGTTATTGATGGGGCTGGTGAGAAAGCGAGCAACGAGAGTGAATACCCGTGCTGTTTGATCTTTGTGTTTATTGATGCACACTTGTATTACGAAGTTTTGTATGTTCTCAGTTAACCAAAAACCAACCCAAAGCAAAGTTAGCAACCCAATCTAATCAGGTCCACTCGGTTTTGCTACAATGCATGATCAGCTTGGTACAGATTCAAAAATTTTGTAACCAACCTAGGTTGGTTCTGTTCTGGGATTGGTAAAATACCAAACAGGCCTACCTATGTGCATCCCTAATTGGCACTGATGTACATGGCTCTGTTTGATTACTAGACCCCCCAAAGAGGGCCAAAAGCATTCTTTTGACCATTCCATGGCACTTACTTCAAAACATTCCAAATATCAACATGAAATTTGAAGATAAAACTGCTCACATTTCTTGTCATAATCTATCAAGATACATTAAACATTTGGATTTGTAAATATAAAGTTAAGTTAGACTTTCAAAAGAAACTTTTAAGTCTATTATTCTATTCAAAAACTCGCTGGAGAGTTTTGGGTTAAAACGAATTATATAGCACTAAATAATATATGTACCAAAGAACATACCATTGAATATCATAAAGCTCAAGAGTAATTGGACAATAACATAATAGCATAGCAAGAATAATAGGTCCAGTAAAAAAAAAAAAAAGGTCCAGTGGGTTGAAAGTCAACATCCACATTGGGACAGGGGGATAAAGGGAATCTCAAGTTTCAAGTGCAATTTGTGTTAACATTACATCTAAGGGTCAATACCTATTTTTTACAACATAAATATTGATCCTTCTAGCATCATAATAATTACAGAAAGCTTGCACAAATCAGAATCCTAGAATTGTACCCCATCTTTCCCAGCATCTTATATTAACAAGGCGAAGAAGGGTAATTGGCTTTTTTATACAAACACAGGATAAAGTATTTTGTCCAGTTTATACCCCCCCCCCCCCCTTTTTTTTCTCTCCCCACCCACCCACACATTCTTTGATTTGAAAATAACCAAAGAAGTATGGAATATCACCACAGTTAGTGTAAGTCAACATTCCATTGAAACGTGAATTTGGAAGATAATATTGATATATAACAACCCTATGATGTATAAAAATGAGGAATTTTCATGGTCGTATAAAAAATACCAGGGAGAGAAATTTCCTAACCTCAATAAGCTTCACATCAATATGGTCTCCAACTTTGAAAGCCTGCAAGGACGTAACTAAAGGATATAACAATCTACCATAACCTCCACAAATCACTTGAAAGAACAAAGGGCTAATGTGCTTACATCTTCTGCCTTCGCCAGCCAATCTGGGCTCAGCTCACTTATATGGCAAAGTCCCTGGAATGAAATTGAAACTTTATGATAACTTGTACAATTTTCCATTTATATTTATACTCTCTTCTCAAAAACAGCTCTTATGTAAAAGTGAGCTAATCAAGAAAGGTTTCCAAAAGGAAGTTTGCAGTTAAATCGATTCCATTTAGAAATAAATAATACTAGATTTATTTGGAAATGCTGACAGCATTTGTTCTTTGTGCAACTTGGGATTGAATATATATACCTCTCGGCCAGGCGCTATCTCAACAAACACTCCATAAGGAGCAATGGATTTAACCTCGCAATTCCTGATTGGAAAAACACAAGTGTGTCAGACAAAATTCTAGAACTTCAGTAGATTGACCATGCTACCAGCACACAGAAAAAGATTACAACTCTGAAGAACACCAAACAATATGCCCCTAAACATAAAATTAAGTTTCCAACATCTCAACATAGACAAATTACCCATACAATTCAAAATGTTCAACCACCAGTAACAGCAAGGGAATGAAAATCCAGATGGACACAGGACTGACACTAGAAAATTACTCTTATGAGCAAATGTGCTGCACATCTTTAACATAGTGAGTTACTGTTTTCCAAACACGATAATATTTTTAAAAGGAAAGATTCTAATAAATTATCCTGTTTGATAATAATGTATGTACATAAGGGACCATTGCGTAGTAAGGTGATAAGTTAACAGTATTGGACTAATAACCAGAAATGTCATGCATGCTTCCAAACTTGAGGGCAATGATGTTGTACAAATAATGTCATACATTAGGCATGTATCTGGTTCATGCCTCCCAGTACCCTAGACTAATGAGGTCCACACTGGTAATAAACATTTATGTTCATTTAGCTGCAGCTGAAAAGATCAAAGGTGACCTATATATATCACCAACAGTTGGAACCATCGTCAGATTACTAATGATGGCTTTAGACTTTTCCAGGCTTGACAAATCTTTTGCAGTTATTTTCACCTGCAACAGCCAGAGTGCAAGATTTTAAGATTGTATCTGTGTAATGATAATGACCAAGAAAGATGTAAAAAATAAGGTCCTTGTCTTGGCTTACCATTCCATTGTCTTGTGTGTCAATAGCATCTACCCCCGTTTCTTCAATAATACTCTTCACCTTTTTCCCACCAGAACCTATTATAAGATTAATTTTCTCTGGTTTGACCTACAGAACACCAAGGTCAAGAGCACATTGAATACTCCACTTGCTAAGTAAAGCAATAAAATAAATATGTGAAAGATAAACCAACCTTCATAACATGAATCAAAGGAGCATATTTAGAAAGACTTTTTGAAGGAGGAGGCAAGCATTTTGACATCTCATCTGAAGAAGTAGACAAATGAGGAGCTTTGCCCTTGAAATAACAGAACCACTACATAAATAGTACACAAAAGGATTCCTATGTAGAACAAAACCTAAATCGCCACTTTAATATCGGAATCCACAGTCCTATCAACTTGTGGGAAAAAACTGATAACCATAAGCAAAACATACCCTCTAAATTGGGGAGATATTTAAAAAACATGGACTGGAGATGAGTTTGTAGGATTCACAATGAATACAAAATAGGGCTAAAATCCAGAACACAAATAATATAATGGTAAAAAATGAAGCCAAGCATGTTATTGTAGAAACAAAAGACTCTTGATTCAAAGATACCTATCAGTGTCATGCCCTGAAATGGATAACCACTTCACACAAAGTCACTCTCCAAAGTTTAGTTAAGGACACAAAGCTATGCAAAGATCAAGCTAGTGAATGAATATACTAAACTTACTCATAAATAAACGTAAATAAAATTAAGGAGAAGCAAAATGAAAAATATTATAACTTGACATGTGTATGGGTGGGTATCTCCTCATAGATGTTTTTATGATTCTTTTATTTCTTGTGTGCCTAACATTCCAGATTTCTATAAAATGATCGTTATAATGGTGATGAAATTTGAGAAATTAGAAATGGATGAATATCGAGATAACTGTCATAATTCTCATATTGAGAGATTTATGTGTATTTGAGATTAAATTGACCATTGCAACTTTATTGAGAAAATTAGTGCTCTAAAATTTTACTCAGATGTTGATTGTTGATATTTTCCGCAAATAATGGCATGACCAGATCTTCTAGTCCTTTTATTTTCTACTCTTCATGATCTGGTAGAGGGATAAAGTAAGAGTGACAAATGGATCTTTGTCCTCTATTTCTAGAAAATGTTCAATTAATTACTTTTCATCAATGTCCCTCGCATCTGCCCTTCATGTTCTTAATTTCTCTACTAATTTACTATCTATTACACAATCCTTAAATTGTTTAGTGACATACTTCCCTACTTATTGTATCTTTCAAGAACTGTAGACAAAGAGACTAATTCGCAATGGTAGAGCACATGGTTGTCTGTACCTTTTGAATATTGAAGCCTCTTCTCACTCTACCGGCCAAGCTCTACGGGCAAATGGTGTTTCAGTTCTTACATCAGTAGCACAGATATTTAGGCCATCTTTCTTTTGGTGTTTAAGAAAAAATCTTTCCCAAGTATAATAGGAATATTTTAGTCCATGATGCTTGTGAATTTTCCCAACATAAATGTTCATCTTATCCTAGAAATAATAATTGAAGCATTCCCCCTTTTATTGATTATTCATACTAGTGTGTAGGTACCTTCTCGTGTGGTTTCTATATTTGGTTATTATTGGTTTGTCATTTTTATTGATTGTCGTTCTTGTTTTACTTGGATTTACTTACTCTACACTAAAAGTGAAACATTCTCTTGCATTAGATCTTTCCATAAAAAGTTTGATGCTAAAGTCAATTATTCGGACTGATAATGGAACTAAGTGTACTGATGAAGAATTTGTTCTTATTTTGATGAGAATAATATTCATTATCAAACCACTTGTGTGAGTACTCCTGAACAGAATGGTGTTGCATAGCAAAAAAATTATTATTTTCTAGAGGTTGTTCGTTCATTATTTTTTACTCTGAATGTTCTAAATATTTTTTTTTTGAGAGGGGGGGGGGGGGGGATGCAGTTCTTAGTGTTGCTTATCTTATTAATAGTTTAGCTTTGAGTATGCTTTAGTTTAGCTCACTCCTTGATATATTCTCTAGGATTTTTTCTATTCCTTTGGTTTCTTCCCTTCCTCCTAAAGTTTTCATGTTTGATTGTTTCGTACATGATTCTAGATCATCCACGGGAAAATTGACCTCAAACCTTTGCGGTGTATGTTCATTGGTTATTCTGTTATCCGTAAATGGTATAAATAATATTATCCACAATCGCAACAGGTGTATGTTAGCATGGATGTAATCTTTCAAAAATCAAAGTCCTTTTTGTCCTACTTCTGAATCATCTTTTTAGGGAGAGAATACTACTATTGAGAAAGAGATGGTATATCAAGAGTCTCTTCTTCAATTGCCTATTCAGTGGGATATTAGTAACGGGGAACAACTTATTGAGCAAAAAAATAATACTAGTTGTCCACCTTGTAAAGAGAGCTTGCATCCCATATTGAATAATTGGAATCACCAAAAAGTTGGTTTATATATATTACTAATTGATTTTTGGTTGGATTCTATAACATGGTATCAAAATTGAGCCTTAGGAGGTTAATTGGTTAAATCTCTTATATGAATTTTCTGGTATGAATAGTACATGTGAGCTCGGCGGGCTTCACTTGAAGGAGTGTTAAGAGAGTTTGTATCCCGCATCGAATAATTAAGACCACTAAGGTTAATTTATATACATGGGCATCCACTTCACCAATTGCTTATTGATTTTAGGTTGGATACTCTAATACTTGTAATATGAGGAATTATTCTTGATGTCAATAAGTACAAATTATCGATGTGTCACCAAGTCAGCTGCATTCCTTAACTCTCGTTCAAATATCTTCCACTAATTTATCAGATAATAAACTTCCACCTACTACTCTTGCCATTGATAATCCAAGCAAGGTGTTATAGCTTGTATTCAAGCTTGGTGCCAGAGGCTTGTATCCAGCTACTAGAGCTTTATATTGCAATTAGAAAGGGTGTTCAAGCTAGTACTCAACACCCCATCTTTAATTTTGTCTCTTATAATTCTTTATATTTATCTTTTTATGCTTTTGTTTTCTCATTTTCTTCTATATCTATTCTTCAAGGTTGGAGAGAAGCTCTCGCTAATCCTAAATGAAAAGAAGCTTTGGCAGAGGAAATAAAAGCTCTAAAAAGAATCGACACATGAGAGTGTGTTCGTTGTCAAACAAGTTAATGGGACAATAGAGAGATACAAACCTAGACTAGTTTCTAAGAGATTCTTTTTTTTTTTTTTAATGTTATGGGATTCACTCTGACGTATGGCATTGATTATCACGACACCTTTGCCCCTGTGACAAAAATGAACTCCACACGCCTTCTTTTCTCTTTTGCAGCTAATCTAGGTTGGAGTTTACAATAATTGATTGTGAAGAATGTCTTTCTTGTAGAGATTTACAGAAGGAAGTGTATATGGAGATCCCACCAGGTTTTTCATGGCCAGTTAACTGAGGGAAGGTATGTAAGTGGACAAATTCTCTTTATGAGCTTAAATAGTTTTCTAGAGCTTTGTTTGATAGGTTTCTTAAAGTCATTCTAAAATTTGGATATAAATAGTCTACACTAATAGCACTTAATGATGAGCAGGAAGTCACCAAACTTAAAGCTTCATTGGCTAAAGAGTTTAAACAAAAGAAATGAGTTCATTGAGATACTTTCTTGGGATTGAGTTTGTTAGATCAGATTAAGACATTTTTATCTCCCAAATGAAGCATGTTCTTGACCTTCTTGAATAAACAGGCATTTTGGGTTATAGACTTCCAGATTTCCCTATCAAAGCTAACCATTTCGATTGAGTGATGGTGTTGGTGATGCAGTAAATAAGGAGAGATATCCAAGATTAGTCGAAAGATTGATTAATCTCTCTCTTACGTCGTAAGATATTACTTTTGCAATAGGTGTTGTCAGTCAGTTCATGCATGATCCTCAAACTTCTCATCTTAAAGTTGTTTATTGTACTTTAAGATATCTTACGTTAGCTCAAGAAAAGGAACCCTGCTCTCCAATCACGACCACTTGAAGTTAGAAGCATTTACTAATGCAGACTGGATAGATTCACTAGATAATAGATGTCCTATATCAACTAATTGCACATTGATAGGGGGAAATCTTTTCACTTGGTGGAGCAAAAAACAAGCAATGATAGTTAACTTTAGCATAGAGGCTAAATACAAATCAATGGCTCATGAAATTTGAGAGTTTATGTGGCTCCAAATCTTACAAGGACTTACGAGACTATATTGTGATCATAACGTCGGTATCTACATTGCTCAGAATCCAGTTCAACATCATAGAACAAAGCATATTGAGATTTACAAGCACTTCATCACAGAAAAACTGAACAAAGGTTTAATTTGCATACCCTTTGTGAAATTAAAAAATCAATTAGCCAATGTTTTCACAAGGTGCTTAGATGTTTCACCTCATTGTTTGTAAGTTGAGTATGAGGGATGTCTAATGCACTAGCTTGAGGGGGAGCGCTATGTTCTGCTTTAGATATTTGTGTACTTGGTATTTATATAAAAGATAGAGTATAGTTGTGTAACCTAACACACTACTCTCTACATAATATTTTCCTTCATTTCTCATCTCCTCTCTCTCAAACTTTTCACTCATCCTATTAAGGAAATTAATACTCTGAAATTTTATATGGATGTTAATTGTTGATATTTTCCACAAATAACGTTCCCAGGGAAGGGGGCGCTAGTGTGTGTGTGTGTGTGTATATGTGTTTTTGGGTTGAATTGGATTGGGTGCAGGGGATATGGGATTCATTCCTTTTTATAAAATATTGCGCAAATCCAAGTCCGCAAGCCCATCGAATAGATAGCTGGTAGTGAGTACTGGTCAGGTTACCAAGAATATGCTTCCGGCCATCTCTTGCTTGTAGGAGAGCCTGCCTCATAATTTGTAACGTAATTCCTCCAACCTGACAGGAAAGAATGAGCTGCTGTCAAAATGTGCGGCCACCAGTAATGTCTCTGACCATGGCCATGAAACAGAAACAGTAAACTGTCTGCCAGAAAACAAAGGACTATTTTGGAACCAATCAAAAGAAACAAAAGTGCTTGCATGACCACCCACATATTAAGCCAAACCTTTATATCCATCTGGAATGCGGTTATACCATCACCATTTCCAGCAACCTGCGGTGTTAAAATTACAGATTCATTCATCAAAATTTTCTGCCTTTGGGACTCAGTATGGCATACTAAGATTTTTGTACTACATCTTTGATATGCATACTTTTATGTCTTCCAAAATGGTCAGTCAAAAATAAAAGAGTACATAACAATGAAAGGTTATAAAAATTCAAGCTAATAAGACCTTAAAATCCATATCACCAGATGCATCTTCTGCTCCAGTTATGTCAGAAAGGATAAGCGGGGTTCCATCTCCCCAAATTCCTTAGTGTCCAGAACCATACCCATTGCTATTCCAGCAATAGAGCACTTTACTGGCACCCCAGCATCTTGCAATGCTAAGCATCCCGCACAAACTGATGCCATACTGTTACATGAAGATACCAGATGTGAATATGCAAGTACTAAACTTAAATCACTTACCAAATGAATTAAAAAGCCATTGCTAGAGAAGGAGAAAGTCTTTTTTTTGGGTAAATATGAGAAAAACAAAAGTTACTGAGTGCAGACAATGCACATCAGACCTCTAAGTAACTTTCGAAATACTATCTACCACACACGCGCACGCACACACACACACACACACACACACAAGCTGCTTGACCTTGATGAGCCGTTGCTTTCAGTGATGGTACTCTCAACACGTATAGTGTAAGGAAAGTCTGCTTCAGAGGGTAATATAGGCTCAAGGGCTCTCTCTGCAAGCATTCCATGACCAATTTCTCTTCTACTTGGTGCTCCCATCCGTCCAACTTCCCCGACACATGATGGTGGAAATGAGTACTGCAAAAACAAGACAAAGATTATGGGACAGCTGATGAAATAGACTCCTTGTCAGAAAATTAAGAGAATTCTTTGGAAAGAAAGTACATGTGCGGCCCAGGTACGAAAATAAAATTAGTCAAGATGAAGATGGAAACGAAATCACAAAACATCATTGAATTTTGTTTATTTCGACATTCACTGTTGTAATTCAAAACATCATTGAATTTTGTTTATTTCGACATTCACTGTTGTAATTGCTTAGAGTATCAACATACTTCTTTCGAGTGTCCAAACAAAAAAAAAAAGACAAAGAAGAAGAAAGGTAAATCCAAAGTTTATTTTGACATTCACTGTTGTAATTGCTTCGAGTATGAACATACTTCTTTCAAGTGTCCAAACAAAAAACAAAAAAGGTAAATCCAAGCAATCATGTCAAGAAATTGATTGGATCAATATTAGAGAAACAAGGTTCAAAAAGTGTATCTCAAAGGAAATTACCTAGTGCACAATACTAGATATCTAAGATAAGAATAATTTAGGTAAGAAAAGAGGACTTGAGACAATTGTATCTCATGTCAAATCACAAAACCTCTAGATGACCTTAGGTCTAAGGATCTCAAGAAATATTTAGGTATTAATCCTATTGGTTGAGTCATCTTTGACATAGCCTAGATTAGCGTTGCCTAAAGTGTGACGCCCCTAAAACCGGGGGTCTTTTGTCAACTCATTGATCACCTATTAACCTGCGAAAATACCCTTGAATGCTGTATAACCCGACACCACGTCACAACATCCCTTTTACCGAGATCACGACGACTCCAAGATTGGGTAAAGTCTCCCTTGTACCAGGCACTCACAATTGTCTAACCTATGTGCACATCAATCATATAACTCATCTGAGGTCCAATATACCAAAGTTATCAAATCGTGTATCGGAAGGCGTATCGTAAGATACAAATATTGTATCGTATCGTGTATCGTAAGATACGATGCAATTTTAAATAAATAATAAAAAAATATATATACCTTTGAAAAAAAGTCATACACTCATAAAAAATATAGCATTTCATTAATACTCCACCAACTATTCAAGTTATCAACATAATCCACTACTATTATAATGCAAAGTTCACAACCATAGTTCACTAATTCAAACTTTAAACACCAAAGAGACTTCTAATCCAAATTTCTAACATCCATTTTGAACTCAATCTTCAATTTCAATTGAAAATGCATCATCATCATCATCATCATTGTGATCGGATGCCAACAAGTCTTCACTTCCTTTATCATCTTCAACTTCTTGTATTTGTTCATCCTCATCCTCATCCTCATCCTCATCTTCAAGTTGAACTATTTGCTTTCCTTTTTTCTTGTATAAAGTAAGATTTCTAGGCCCTACAAAGCAACCAATACAAAATATAAAAAAATTAAATTCAAAGTAATGGAGAAGAAGAAAAAACAACCACTACATTTTAATTACCTCTCTTTCTCTTTTTGCTAGTCCCTTCTTGAACCTCAAAACATTCACTAACATTCATCCAAGTAATGTCCTCAGGAAGGAGTGCATCTTCTTTTTCAGTGATCCACTCATCATCAGATTCCATATCTGAGAGAGAAATAGGATCATAGGAATCACCCTCTAGTATTCTCTTTTGGTGTCTTGCCTCCAATCGAAGATTGTACTTCACAAACACAAGTGCACTTAATCTTTGTTGCTCTAATCGATTTCTCCTCTTAGAGTGCACCTGGTCAAATGTACTCCAATTCCTCTCACATCCAGTGGCACTACAAGTCAAGCTAAGGACGCGGATAGCAAGTTGTTGCAACTCTGGACAACATCCTCCAAATGATTCCCACCACAAGGCTATAAAAAATTACAATAGAATACTCTATTAACTAACTTAAGCAGTTACATTCAAATAACTAACTTAAGTTAAGTTACCACTAACCAGGTTGTTTCTTCTTCCTCATTTGGATTGCCATGTCCATTCCAAACATCAAATCAGCATTATGAAAGATATCTAATTGTTTATCAACTTTTTCTCTCATAATAGGACTTGGGCACATTCTCTGAATAGTCTGATATAGTCCCATCTTTATCTCATAGTCCGCACTACCGGTGTAATGAAACCTGAAATAATTATTTTGATTTACAATGATCATTGATCAGCATACAATATATAAATATAAAATGATATAAAAATTGAGAAAATTAAGTCTTACGCGGGATTGAGATAATAGGCAGCTGCATGAAGAGGTCTGTGTAATTGCATGTTCCATCTAGTGTCAACAATAGTCCATATGGGCTCATAGTGCTTCTTCACATTACGAAAATTCTTTTGGATTTGTTCCTTTGCCTTGTCCATTGCCTCATAAATATACCCCATGGCAGGCTTTAGATCCCCATCTACAAGCCTCAACACCTTCACCAATGGCAACACACACTTCAAGCAATACTTGATTGATCCCCAAAAATTTTGGTCAGCTAGTATAATATCCATCACTTTTACACCATCTCCCTTCTTACAATATTGACTTCTCTGCCATTCCTCAGAAGCAAACATTGCTCTAAGCCCAATTTTATTTTCAAATAAACTCCTTAAAGTTAAATATGAGGTGGCAAATCTGGTCACACAAGCTCTCACCAAATCCCTTTTCTTTGTATACTTTCTCATAAGATTTAACACCCAAGAATGTCTATAAATGTAAACTGTGATTTTCCTTGCCTTTGACATTATATCCTTGTGCAGAGGAAGGTCCCCAATATCCGTCAAAATGAGATCTAGACAATGTGCACCGCAAGGAGACCAAAACAATTTTTTCCTCTTTGCCATTAACAACTCCTCAGCTTTTACATAAGCCGATGCACTATCAGTTACAACCTGAACAACATTATCCTTACCAATCTCTTCTACCATTGAATCTAAAAGCTCAAAAAGATTATCCGCATTCTTACAAATACCTGAAGTATCAATACTTTTAAGAAACACACTTCCTCTAGGACTATTCACTAAAAAATTAGTGATAGAGCGATGTTTCCCATCAGTCCATCCATCAGACATAAGAGTACAACCCGTCCTTCTCCACTCTGCTTTATAATTTTCCATCAACCCACCATTAATCAAATTTGTTTCTTTTTTCAAAAAAGAACATCTCACCTCATGATACGATGGAGGTTTCAATCCCTTACCAAACGATGCAACAGATTCTAACATTCTTACACAATATGGATCCTTTACCAAATTAAAAGGAAGGGCATTAGCATAAAAACATCTACAAATATCCAAGCATACATCTTCCCTACCCTTTTTCTTCAACATAGTATTCAAAGTAATTGTGGTGGTTGGCTGTATTTTATCAGCAGTAGTACTACCCACACTGCCACTACTTTTCGAATCCACAAGACTCATATCTTTGCTAATTGCCCTATCATCCAATAATTGCTTAAAAAATTCAGTCACTTCCTCAAGGCAATGCTTACACGCTGTTACATCTTTGCGATTACTTGCCAAATGATTTTTCATTCTTGAAATGCCTCCCCAATAGACATTTGCACAATGAATGCATTTCAATTTCAACCTTGATCCTTCTACTTTGTCACAATGTTCCCATGTGGGATCATTAACAAGTTTTTTAGTCATTTCTATATGAAAATTGGATGCAGGTGATGCCACTGTTGCACAAAATTAAAATTAATCAAGATTCAAAAATTTTTATACAAAAAAATTTATATACATTTGGTTTTGTAAATAAATTAATATCATTACATACTGCACAGGACCAACGATCAATGGAGACTGGGAAGAAGAAGAAGAAGAAGGAGTACCTGGAGAAGGAAGAAGGCAGCGATCAACACCCACAGTCGGAGACAAGCAATCACCCACAGACGAAGACCGGCAATCACCCACAGTTGGAGACCACCCACAATCGATCACCACCCAGACTCGAAGACCACCCACAATCGAAGACCACCCACACAGTCGAACACCACCCACACAGTCGAACACAGTCGAAGACCACCCACACAGTCGAAGACCACCCACAGCGATCACCACCTACAACGTTCATCACCCACAGTCGATCATCACCCACCCACAGTCGATGGCTGAAGAGAAACCACAGACGTCGTCGATAGACCACCCACACAGTCGAAGACCACCCACAGCGATCACCACCTACAACAACGACCACCCACAGTCGATCATCACCCACCCACAGACGTCGGTCGATGGCTGAAGAGAAACCACAGACGTCGGTCGATGGCTGAAGAGAAACCAGACGTCGTCGAATATGTGAGAAATGTCTGATTTTTTTTTTTGTAACCCTAACCACTGAAACGACGTCGTTTCAGTGGTTATAGGGAATTAAAAAAAAAAATTCAGAGCACACAACGACGTCGTTTTTAAAAAAAAAAAAAAAAAATTGCACGTATCGTGCGTTTCGTACCGATACGTATCGTATCGTAAAAACGTATCGTGTATCGGACGATACAATGCAAAAACGATACATAACTACGATCCGTATCGTTTTAGGGCTGTATCGTAACGTATCGTACGATACGTATCGCGTATCGCACGATACTAACAACTTTGCAATATACAACAATTCATACTCAATTATTGTTTATTTACATCATTTGAATAAAAGAACTCAAAGTCCGAAAGCATAGCACAACATTCTCAAAATTTGAGATTTTAGGAAAACCTACAGGTAGAAGATGACCATGTTCTACGGTAGGAAAACCTTTTAGAAAAGTTCTACTACAAAACTTGAAGTTCTACCAGTTGGTTTAGCCCACCGGAGAAGTTCTACCGGTAGAAGACCTCGTCGTTCTACCGATAGGTCTTCCCAGTTTTCGCTCATTTCTATCTTTTTTCAATTCCAATCCATTCCAACCCTTTACAACATCAACCCAAACTCATACAATTGGCAATTTTACATAAAAGCATAGTCCTTATGAGTTCGATTACATTCTT